CCGGTTGAATGAGTTGATGATTTACTTAACTCCGTGATTTCAACCGAGATGGTTTACTTTGGTTGAATGAGTTGATGATTTACTCAACTCTTTGATTTCAACCGAGATGGTTTACTCCGGTTGAATGAGTTGATGATTTACTAACTCCGTGGTTTCAACCAAGATGTTGTACTCCGGTTGAATGAGTTGATTTACTTAGGCTTTAGCTGAGGTGCTTTACCTCGGCTAAAATAGTTGACGTTTTGTTAAAGGTTTTTGCCGAGATGATGAAACTCAGTGCAACATGCAGTACAACAGTTAACGAAATCAAAACTTTTCATTGATGTGAAACAGAATTACATGCGGTGGGACTGGCAGCCCGGTTACATTCTTAAAAACAAAAAAGAAAAAGAAAACTAAACTAAGGGAGATAGGTCGGTAAAGTCATCCCCAGTTGCGGTTGCCTCCAAGTCGACCGTGGTTGTGGTTTCTTAGACACCGGTCTCAACTTGGCCGGCCTGCTTTGGGTGGTTATCTCCCTCAGTATTTTCCTCGGCTTCATCCGCGCCTTTTTTCTCGGCCTCAGCCTGCAATGCGCTTGTAGACACCCCATTTTTGACCGTCCTCAAGACTTGGACGTCACCGTTTGAACACTCGGTGATTATCCATGTTTGTGTTCGTTTGGAGTTCCCGGAGGCCTCGGCTCGCGCGCCCTGCCCCTGACAAACCAAAACTCTGTTTTGACTCTCTTTTTCTTCCTAAAATTAATTGCAAAACAGATGCAGAAACACAGAGATGAACAGAATAGGAAAGACGAAATTCTGAGGGAAAAAATTAGATCAAAAGAATTGCTGGAATGAAAGGCTTTATATAGAAGAGCAGGTGGCTTTTCCGAACAGGTGCCAACAGATAAGAATCTGTTCAGACAGATTCAATAAGTAGAAAACCTGTTTGGACAGATACAGATCTGTTCGGTTTGAATTCAACATGTACGAACTTGCTTTGAACCTGTTCAGGTGGGTAAACTTGTTTGGGATCTGTTTGGGTGAAGGAAAAATCTGGACCAATTTATTTGGAATGTTAAACCAAAATTTATAAAAAAAAAAATCAATAAATTACAAATGTTTTTGGCCTCAAAAAAAATAAGTATTGGGCCGAACAAGCCCAATCCAACCTCATACCATGCACTCGCGCCCAAGCCCAGGCCCAGCCCAGCCCGCCCGACCGGACGGCGGCGCGCGCGCGTGTGTTAGAATGTAGGGGGGGAATTATAA